GCAGAGCAATAACAAGTAAAGGAGGGACCATCTTCATCATCAAAGCTTTATCCAAAAACTTCCACAGAATCGGGATATTATTATCCCAACAAATGTAGTTAACCAGCACGTGGGCAAAATCAGTTGAAGGCAAAGCAACTCCAGAGGAACTCAAACTGGAAGACACTTGTAAAGCCCAGAACAAAGGATCGATACCCTTCTCTTTCGCCACCTTTGTCTGTTCTATGACCTCTTCCCATAGCCTGCTGTTTTGCAAGCTCAACTCCATTGGTCTAAAGCTCCACAGCAAGCAGCCACCTTTGTTTTCCTTTATCGTTTTGCAATGAAAAACAACAAGAAGAAGAAGTCACAGTTTTGAGGAAAAGAATGGCGAGAGTTTGCGAGTGAGGCTTCAAACGGAGACCCTTCTTTTGTTTATGATTTTTGGAGTAATTTTTTCTCTTTTTTGGATCTTTTTTAATATAAAAAAATGGATTTTGGAAATAAATTTGACATAAAATTGAGAAAAGTAAACGATGGAAGAAGAAGGAGAAGAGGAGCAGTGGTTGTTAGCATAGATAACAACATTTCTTTAATCCAAAACTTTGAATTTTATACATAAAACATTTCTAATAATTTGTTTTTTGTGTATAAGAATTGATTATAATTATATAATTTCATTAATTATATTTTCATTCAGATCATATCACATAATAATTTTTTTAAGTCCATTGTTTATTATTTAATTAAATAGTAAATAGTTTTTCCATAAAAAAGTTGATAATATGATCTAATTTGAGTAAGAGAATAATATTGCCGTAATCTAATCATTTTATGTATAGTTTTTTATGTATCTAAACAATTATATCAACTAATTACTTAATTTTTTATTAGTTATGAAAAATTAAGAAAAAATTGATTAAATCAACTTTTTAAAATTGAGTGGATCAATCACTTATTTTTTTACTATTAAATTTTTGGATAAACTATTGAGCGATCATACAATTAAAAGTTATAAAATGACCATCCTACTATTCATTGTGTTATAAATCGTCATTTTCCGTTAAAAAGTTGATGGTAATTTGAGTTAGACGTTAATCTGTTGGCTAATACATGATATAATATGATCTCATAATCTCAAACGACTATCATATCCTAGTCATTAGGTTAACGTCCAGCTCAAACTACCATCAATTTTTTAAATAAAAATGACAATTTTAGAACGTAAGAATATTCGGGTGACCATTTTGTAATTTTTAATAATCGGAAACTTAAAATAGCAACAAAATATAGTCAAGAGATTATTTTGTAACTTTTAATAATCATACGATTCAATAAAACAATACTCTAAAGTGGAATGTCCATCTGTATAATTTAACCTAAATTTTATAATCTTATCTCAACCTTAAACATAAATTTAATTGATAAATTGAGAGAAGGCAATTGGAAGGTTTAGTTGGCATGGATTTTTATAGTGTTAAATATTTTCTAATTCTACCAATATTTAATACGTTAATCGATTAATCAATAATAATTTATCATAAAAGTAACCTTATTAATTTAGTTTTCTACTAATAATGTTAAAATTTAAATTATTACTTTTTATTTAAAAATATAATATTTTTTTGTTAATATGAGGTAAGTATAAGGTAGTATTTATTCAAACATAACTCTCAACTATTTAATATTAAACACTCATATTTTGAATTCCCGTTATTCGAATTCAATACCTCAAAAAAATCATTTATTACTAAAATTATTTAATAATTACAATAAATTATTAAATGTATGATATTTCTTTGTTATGCAAAAAAAATTAAGTTAAGAAATCATGGGAACTCCACAAACCTATATGGCCCACCACTCACCAAACCAATAGGAACACATAACTATCTACCATCGGAGTTGTTGCTCGTGATAAGTGTGAACAATTTGTGATGGTTTGACCTAGTCTTTGGATGTTTTAAAACGATTTTACAAAATTATCTACTTTACTCATTGATTTAAAATAACTTTGATATGAGATGGTCTGATCTCACCTTTATAAAATAAATGTATGTATGCATTCTTCAACCTTACACCAGCATGTTGTCATTTTCAATGCAGAGAATTTGATAATTATAAAAATAATACTTATAAATATATATATAATACTTATAATTATATATATATATATATAGTGGTTAGGGTAGGTGAAGATGATGACAGGGGGTGAGATTGGCCCCCCAAGTCCTACTCCTTAAGTGATGATAATCATGACATTGGCATATATCAACCGGAGGAAAAGGAAGTGGAAGGTGCAAATGGAAAACCCTTTTTTTTAATTTATCATATTTATATTAAAATAATATTTATATATTATGTAAAATATATAAAGATCCTCTAATTATAAGACATTTCTTTGTTGAGTCCATCGATTATTCACATGTTTTAAACTATCTATTTATGTTAAAAAATGAAAGTAGTCAGAACTGGACGTAAACTTGATGATAATAAAATATGATCATTGAATCTCAAAAACTATCATATATCAATTAACATGTTAACGTTCAGTTTAGTTGTTTGTTAATATTTTAATAGAAAGTGAAGAGTTTGGAATATATGAATAGTAAAGTGATAATTTTATAACTTTTAATAGTCGAGTGAACATAATAAAGTAATACCCTATAGTTAAATGATCATTTTTTAATTTTTTAATAGTCAAGAGACTTAACAAACTAATCTTATAGTTGAGGGACCATTTATATACTTTACCCTATATTTTAATATATTTGTATATTTATAGTGTTTATGATTCCATGATAAAAGGTGGTAGGTAAAAGCTCAAGTGGCATTGGCTTTATCTGTTAGAGCTTATTAGTTAGGGGAAAATGATTTGTTGGGGCCACACATCATTATCCCAAGCCTCAACAAATATGGTTGAACTCCCTCCACCACCACCCTACAACTTGAATTTACCCTATCCGATCCGATCCGATTTAATCTGAACCTCTAGTTGAGGTCATAAATAATTATTTTGAGCCTCAACAAATTCGGAGGTCTTCTACGTAAGTTGTTCAACTGGTGTTAGAGGCTCTACTATCTTACCTCCCCTTACCCCATTACATATGGAAACAAGGGACATCCATTTCTTATGGGCATTCGAACTCGAATTGACCTGATCTAGATTAACTTGATTGAAACCTCATCTGACACGTCCTATTTACATATCTACATAAAATATTCAGTAGGCAAAAAATAAACAAGAAATGACAGAGGTGGCAATGCTAGATCCAAAAAAGAAAAATCCTCCACTTTGGTCTGGTTTGGTTTGTGAGCATGGTATCATATGATTCCCTAGAGATGAAGATATAGTAATTGTTTATATGAAGAAATCTGACTTTGCCATGTTTCTACATGCAATTTCCCAGAAAATTTATTATATAATATAATGAATGCATGTTTAATATCATAAATCATCTACCAGGTGTCATTAGGGATTTAAATAACGGTCTGCTATCATAAAAGCACCGGATCCTAAAGTTAGGTGAAATGGTCCATCCATTTAGCATCTTCATATCTGGGGATTTAAATAACGGTCCGCTATCATAATAACACCCGTTATATATCTAATGGTGTCGTTCAAAGCTGTTACTGCATGAGTACAATGTCCATAACTATCACAGTAACACCTATTATGTTTGTAATCACGATAAATGTATCGTAAATGAATGTATAATTGCAACACAATTTAAATTCTGATAGGTCAAATGTAACCAAAAGCACCAATGCGGCAAGCAAAGCAACCATAACTCAAAGCTCCAACATGCATAAACTTTCTTTTTCATTTTTGGGTGTTAGACTCGGAAATCCGATAATCACTAAAATCTCGATTAAATTCAAAATAAAATCGAATTAAATCTCATTCCCAACACTGTTCTTTTTCATTCACAAGATTTAAACTCGAAATATTATTAACCTAACGTAGATAACTGCAATAGTATACATTTCTTGCACTCCAAAATTTCATTCTTTTTACTCAATCTAAAGAGAGAGAAAACTAAAAGCAAATGAGTTACTTGATCAGTTGGAATTTGCTGGTTAGGTCGTTAGGTTGCCAAACTCTTAGGTTTAGATATCAAATATTAAACCCTAGAAGAAAAGCAAGACCCTACTTGCTTTTCATTCTTGTTATCACAAATATTTAAATGAGTTCCGGTGTTATAAGATTGATTTTTTTTTTTGAAATTTCGATTCAAGACGAATTTTGTCAAGGGAGTCATAGTCAAAACCGAGTCAGATTTAGAATAAAAAAAATCTTGATCCTATGAAACTCGAGATAATTACTATAATACCCGTGATATATATTTTAAATTAATCATTATAATGTCTCTTTGTATATATATTTTTTCAATTATCTCCCCTACTTACTAGATAAAAATAAAAAAGTTATTCAAATCGGATCAGACAAGTTTTTTCATCTAAATTTTGAGACGTGTTCAAGATAGACGGTGATTTTGATCTAAATTTTAAGACGGATTCAAAACAGGTGGAAAATCACCGGGTATTGGAACAGTTTGGAGTCGTGTAAAAGCCTTTCATTTTCGGGTCGGGTCAGGTTCAAGACGACGGAAAACCCGTCTCACGCCATCTCTTACTATGTTGGAAGAATTTTCCTTCCAAATCAAAGTTGAGCCTTGCACAACACTCTAAAAGGGCGAATAGAAAAATAAACCGTTTAAATCAATGATTGAACCCTTCAGCATTCATAATATATATATATATATATATATATATATATATATATATATATATATATATTGACTCATATAGTATGTAATTGGCAGCCACATATGTATTATGTAACTTATCTAATTTGAAACGTACAGAATAAATAATTTAGTGGATTGAAGGGAAAGTAAGACAAGCAAGTGCAAAGTGCAAACTAGGTGATGATTATGTAGACTTTTCACCACATGACAGCAAATATGGGAATAAATTATTGTTGTACATAGTCCAAGATTAATGATGCCATGGCATAATATATTTACATAATATGTAATTTAAGCTTTATTGCTGCAGGCATCGAACCGGTGTTTCGGAATTTACCGCAAGACGAAACGATATTATAGACAAGAAGAGTTGCCACAAAGAATGTTTTGATACTCACTGGCAGCATCTATAGAATCAATGGGGCGATTTAGAAGTCTCAATCTAGTTTGGTGGCATCTATATAATACTCTAGGTGAAAAAAACAAAATGGAAACTAGACCAATGGGGGGGACTTAGAAGTCTTCGTCTAGTTTGAAAACGTAGTTTTTACCTCCGTTTTGAAGGCTCGACATAACAGATGCTTTCTGATATTCACCGACCCTCCTCTCGAAGAAGTTGGCTTTTCCTCTGCAAAGTCGAATACACGTTTAAACAAGGAATACGGTCTAGAGATGTCATAAATGATATAGCTTACGTACATGCCGGGTAAATGCTAGCTTAGAGAATACAAAATGTGTCGAATCAACGGTATGATCATCAACAACTTAACTACTATCCTTACTCACACAGCTAAGCTTGACAATAAACCATCCTTGATAATCAAGACTCAAAGAAGTCAAATTTTACAACCCCTTGCAACACAAATTTCCTCCCTATATTTATTATGGTGATGTTACAAGGGAAGACTTCAATGAACTCTCACATTTCACATACATGTCTAATCTCCGAAATAATTTGTTTGGGACAGTCCCGCCAAAAGCGAGAATCATTCAAAAAGTTTAGGAAGTGGACAAAATAAGTAGAACGAATGTCACAGGCAAAAGGGTATATGTGTCTTAAGTAGACGTTGAAGAGTCCACATTCTGGACGTCAGCTTAAAGAAAATGTAACAATCAGCATAACTTAAAACCACTGCAAAGAAGGCAGCAAGGCCATTAATACTTACTGTAAAGATATAAATTCCATCCAATCAAAAGGATTTTCCACGTTGTACTTTCTTTGACAGCCCAATGCAACCTGTAAATAAATGAGAAATGAGTCACTGGTTTGTTTCTTTTCATCCAAAAAAAGAACTGTCTTCAACTACTAGAGACACCTTTTAAGCTTCCAAAATCAATTAAAATGGAGAAAGTCTTCATGCAAAATCGTATAATTTACAATCCAATCCACCTTTGCCTATCAAATCTAATTTTAAAACAAATATTTAGTCTCTTCTATTGATGATAGTAGTAACATTTTATGATCGTTTTAACTCATTTTTTGGATTGCAGTGTATTACAATCAAGCATCGATGATCAAATTCAAAAGTCAGATGATCTATTACAAATGTATTGAAAGGTTTCTTCTTATTTTGGATAAGTATATATCAGTTCAGGATTAAGAAACAAATTATAAGTTTCATGGAATATATATTAATGTGTATTTTGGTGTATCTGTATGCCATGGATTTGTAAGATATATTTTCGTTCAAGGTAAGTCAATATAACTCTTAAAAGATAAACAAATTAACAGACGTATACCAGAAGACGATCAGCCACAAACTTTATGTACTGGCTCATGAGTGTTGAGTTCATGCCAATAAGTGCACAAGGAAGAGCCTCACACACAAACTCAGTCTCGATTTTCACTGCTTCGTTCACAATATGATGGACATTTTGCCAATTAAGTTGCTTCCGGAGCAACCTGTAAGCAGGTGCAAAATTTTCACATCTAAAAATTTCCTAGTCTAACCCACATATCCAGCCATTGACAAATAAAATGCACAAACAAAAGTTCAATTGTTTCCAAATATATTTTAATAAAAATTTAAAAATAGAAAGCTACCCATAAAGAAGGCAAGCGAATTCACAGTGAAGCCCCTCATCTCTAGATATAAGCTCATTTGAGAATGTCAAACCAGGCATCAAACCCCTCTTTTTAAGCCAGAAAATGGCACAAAAGCTGAAATCATCGATGAATAATCAGTGAAAAGGAAGAAAATTACAAAAATAAATCGAACTTCTTAGTAGAAAAGTACAAGAAATACAAACTCTACAAAATATAGAGACCCACCGGAAAAAGAATATTACCTTCCAGAAAAGAAGATTCCTTCAATACATGCAAAAGCCACAAGTCTCTCGGCAAACGAAGTGGAACTGCATACAGACACAACAAAAGAGTCCTTTTAAAGAAAGAAAGGTACTGCTTTGATTAGTTTAAAGTGTAAATCAACTTGACAACCATAATGATGCTGGCCAAACAAAGTCCATACATTCAATGGTACAGAAAGGAGTCGATGCTACTGAGATCAATATTTGATAAATAAATTGGTGTAAAATGTGATATAAAGTAAAGAACTGCAAACATATATGCATCAATTTTCCAACTCAAGTTCTATCATATTTAGGCTGTAAGTTCTGCATTAAGGAATCAAACATGTGAAATGTTCAATCCAAGTTAGAAAAACCTTCGTAAAAATGCTCAACCAAACTTTTAGTCCTACGCGTTGAGAATTCTTTAATCAAATTGCTTATTTGGCTTCAAATAATAAGTCGCCAAAGAGCAGGACTAAAAAATAATACCTCTGAATCCAATCCATAGCCCATTTAGCCTTCTTACTGACACAAGGGATGCTTTCGATAGCATTGAACAATCTATGTTTTTCTTTAGAATCCTTGATATATGTCTCCAAAAGCAAGCTGTACATTTCTAGCATTGGCATCAGAAAATATACACAATCAGATAACGTTAATTCAGGATGGGAAATCAGCAGAAGACTACAACTTAGTAAATGCTTGCTAGCCACCATCTTGTGTTGGTTGTTAAGGCACAAATAAGTCTGACAATCTAGCCCAACTAACAGCCGACTCCTGAAGGTTAAACCCAGCCCTAAAATTACCTAAAAACAGACAAGTTTGACAACCTCAATAGAGATTTACTGGAGCTAGGACTGAACCAGAGGCAGGACTCATCTTTACTTTTCAAGCACCAAAAATAATTTGAAAGGCCAGTCCAGAAATTTGAAGTGCAGCTGTAAGCTAGATTATGCCAAAATCATCAGGCCTGATAGGTTAAATTGGCCAAGAATTTTCTTTTACTAAATGAAATGGTGGCACACATTAGACGTGAAGATCAACAAATATAGTAAATGATCAATTTTCTACCAGAATGAATATTCTCCATGGCAATTTGGAATCCATAGAATGCGCGAGCCTGAGAGAATAAGGGAAATCTGATGTTAGATCAAAAACTTGAAAGAACCAGGCTATGTACTGGTTTCTAATACGCAAGAACCCCTTCCTTTATTTAAAACAAAACTGGCCATTAACGACCTTTGAGTCTAGGACTAACTAAGCAGGCAAAGTCTTTACAAGCTAAACAGAACATTGGCCTGATATTTTTTTGGTTACAAAAAGTTTAGGTCAGGGGTGGCTCCCCCAGTCCAGGGAACATTGGCCTGATATTACCCCCACCAGACCTAAACCTGTCGCAATATGATTCTCCTATTATAGTGCTTATAAATATGCAGTTACCTAAATTGCAAAACCAAACGTAATAAATAGAATTAAAATATTATCCAGTTGATGCTTAAAGTTATTAATAAAATAGCCTGAAAACAACTTAACTAATACCTACCTCTGGAATTTGAACATCATTTAGGAACCTTGCAGCCAAGTTCTCTAAAACTATCCCATCAGATGCAGCAAAAAAGGCCAGCACATGGCTTATGAAGTGTTTTTCTGAATCAGACAAGGTTTCCCAGTGCTGAACATCTTGTGAGAGATCAACCTCCTCAGCTGGAATAACATTAAAAAAATTATGATAATGAGGTCAAACCAAGGGCAGGAAATTACGGGTGAAAATCTTACAGAAAAGGAAGGGAAAAGGCAAACCTAAAATTTCAAAAATAGTTTATATCATTCAGAAAAGGACTATAATTGTTCAAAAGTCCGAACACATGTTGATATCGCACACCAAAATTGCAAACGTTAAAGATTGCCATTAACCAATAATCCCTACAGCATGACCAGGGATGGACCGGCAGGTCACCCACTGAAAATTTCAAATTGTCGTATAATTTAACTATGTTCTTTGTATTTTTTATTCATAATTTGTTTTCACCCTCCCCTAAGATCGTATAAGTTTGCCCTCCACTAAAATTTTATGAGTTCGCCCCTGACATAAAATCATGCATCCGTCCTTCTGCATTAATAAACTTAACATAAATACGAAGGAGAGTGATAAGGGAAAAAAACAGTTCAATAACATGATAAGGTGTTGCCTATATCAATATTTTAAGAAGGTAGTTTTGCTTGCATTTTCTTTGGATAGCTAATTAATGGTTTGAATGCTTATTCTCATAACCGCCAGCCAACAGAAATTTTAAAAACAGAAAATTCAAAACATTAATCGCCACTGCACCTTATGAACAAACGTATAACAACGACGATATATCGATACCGAAATCCCCAATGCAACAATCAATTTCCAAATTCAATTAAGCATACAACCCAATTTTCTTTTAACGTCTGCCTCAAACTAGTAACTTGACTTCACATTTCATCCATAAAACCCCAATTTTATAAAATTCTAAAGCAAACCCAATTGCGAACAGACAAAACATCAAAAACCCCAATTGAGAAAACAATAATAACACAAAAATGACCAGAAAAAAACTGAAAACAGAGAAAATAAGGGTAAAAAATAGAAGTACGCAGTACCAGTCCAAAAACTAGCCTCAGCCTTCTTATACATCTCCCAAAGCGGTTGATATCTAATGGGAAACATGCAAAACCTCTGGTTTTGTTGTTTCAGTATGGGCTCTTCCTCTTCCTTCTCTTCTCTCGCCCTTACTCTATCTTCCTCACCCTGTTCGTCTCTCAACGAACCCATTTCTCTTTTTCCTTTGCCTTTTTATCGTTGTTTTTGCTGAGAAATTGAATGGAGGAAGTGGGGAAAGATATAAAAGATATGAAAAACCCTACAAAAACCCTTTCTTCGAAGTGAAAAAGACGGGTTTTTGGATGATTGGTGTGATATTGGGAAGGGAAAAAGGAGATCTTCTTGCTTTTTGTTATTTTCTTTTTCGTTTTGGGTACCTTCGGTTGCATGGTTTGTATTTATTCGTTCATGTACAAAACGGCGCCGTTTGTTTTCATCGGAAGGTGAAACCTCTGCCACGTCATGAAATTACAATCACAAATTTCAATTTAGTGTACATGATTATCCACTAATTACAAAGTGTTGTGAGAATTATATATTTGCAAATTTAATGTTTTGTGAGTTTGATGTATATTTATTGATCATAACGTGTAGGATCATCATATAATGTTATTTTTTCATAAAATATGACTTCAAATATCTTTGTCTATAGAGTTTAATGTCGGTAGGGTTTTCGTGATTTTTCGATAGAAAAAATTATGAATAAAAAATTTAGAATAAAATGAACCTTTAAGTGTTCTCTCCTTCCCTCTTTTTTCTTTTTGTTTTGAGTGTGTGTCGTTTTTTTACAGATCATATCAATGTTTCCTTTTTTGATTTTGTTTAGCTGGTGGTGATATCGATTTTGTTGCTAGTTGTTGATCGTCAGTTCTCTTTTTTCTTTATTTTTTTTATTTTTAATAAGAATAATTCTACATTTGTGACATTTTTTTGTTTTTCCCTTCGGTTTGATCGTTCTTTTATTTATGTATTCTCAGGGTTGGATTTGACGATGCTATAACTGATAAAGATGGTGTTTATTTGGAATCTTGTTGTTCTTCCCTACTATGGACCTTCATATTGAATTTGGATACGCAATTTTGTTTTCGTGGATAATTTCTAATGATGCTCAGCTCTGATTTGTGGTTATCGGTAGTCTTTCAATAGTTTAATTTCCTTTTGTGATTCGCTTGCCGATGCAATCAAATTTGTTCGTATATATTTTTGTTCGAGTTTTTTTGTTAGATCTTTAACTTTTTCCATGCATGTCCTTATATGATCTAAATTTGTTAGTTTCGACGTTATAAGAAAATATACAAATTATGTATTTAGTTTACGATGATAATTGTAGATTCTTATTGTAATTTTAGATATTTTCTCTTTTTAATCATACTAGCAGTTTCTATTAAAAAATGAATAGACATTATCTTATAATCACTCTAGATTATTTAATATATATACATCCATTAAATTTTATTACTTTTTATTTTATTATAATGTGATATATTACAATTCTATTACATGATACTTCCTAAAAAATTAAGAAAAAAAGTAAAACCCTGATTTTCTCTCGTTGGTATATCGCTCATCTCTTTTTCTTTTTGGTCTTTGTTGAATAAATTTTAATGTTGGTTGTCGGTCGCTGATATTCGTTATTTTTTCTTTTCTTTATAATGTATCTCTATTTTCTTTTATTTTTTTTTATTTTCAATAAGTCTGTTGGTATGACACGTTTTCATTTGTCTTTATGACATGTTTTCTTATTTTTTTAGCATGTTTTATGGTTATTTGGCATTTTTTTCATTTATATTTTTTAAGTGTTGATTTGACATTGCCACGTATGATTAAGATGACGTTTATCTGATATCATATTGATCTTCCCTAATTTGGACTCTCTTTTTATTGTATCTCTATTTTCTTTTATTTTTTTTCAATAAGTTTGTTGATATGACACGTTTTCATTTGTCTTTATGACACGTTTTTTTTTGTTGCATGTTTTATGGATTGTTGGCCTTTTTTTCATTTATTTTTTAAGGGTTGATTTGACATTGCTATGTATGATTAAGATGACGTTTATATAATATCATATTGATCTTTCCTGATTTGGACTCTTATATTGGATGTGGATACCCGATTTTTGTTTGTGGATAGATTTTCACATCGCTTGGTGGTCTCTCAATAGTTTGATCTTATTTTGTGGTTCGTTTGCCTATACGACCAGATATGTTTTTATCTATCTTTGTTCGAGTTTCTTGATTAGATTTTTAATTTTTTTCTTATTTGATCTCTGTGTGCCTTAAATTGATTAAAAAATAGACAAAAAGGCATCCAAGGCCCTCCAACTTAAAAAAACAATATTCCCCCCTATTATTTTTTTTTTGTTCAATGTGCCATTTGACAAACATTTTCCGTCATTAACTAAGATTCTTGTTGTTATAAAATGGGTAAATCATACTTTTCATCACTCAACTATTTTCTTATCTTCTATTTCGGTCACTAAATTCTAAAAATTTTCAATACAAGGATATTTATAAATTATATCAATTTAATATTATTTAAATTCTAAATAGTTTAATAAATGTGTGTTTACCCTTTTAATAACAGTAGGAATTAACAGAATCTTGGTCCATAACGGAAATCATTGGTCAAAGGGTCACATTGAGTTCTTTTTAATAGTTAGAGGGACACATTGAACAAAAACACGATAGGGGTCACATTTTTTTTAAGTTGGAGGGCCTTGAATGCCTTTTTGCCAAAAAAATTATGAACGATGTGATATTTAAATTTGAATTTAAAAATCGAATTTGCTTTTATCAGATCCAACAAACATAAATTTAGAATAATTTTAGAAAGTAAAAATTTACGAATCATTTTTTAGTTCACAGTCAACCTTACTCGTTATTTAAATTATACAGATCTGTATATCTATATATATATATATATATTATAAAATTTTGAAACAATTAAATCGTTTTTTATTATTTGTGTTGTGCTTTTATTATGTTTTTGTGCTATAAACGAATATATATATATATATATATATATATAAAATAAAGTTGTTTTATGTGCAATTTGTCACATTTATACCTTTTTTTTATATATTTTCTTTTTGTTGTGTTGTATTTTAATTTTTTCATGTTGCATGTATAATCAAGTTATATAAAAAGTACAAAAATTGAACTAACAATATTAAATAATTTTTGTACTGTACGAATCAAACGACTTCGGTTAAAAATTTTATTATTCTTCTTAGAGGTCATGGGTTTGATACCGACAGGAATATGAGTGTTTATTGTCAATTAGTTGAGAGTTGTTGAACAAATACTACATTATATTCACTCCATATTTATCAAAAAAAAATGTATTAATATTTTTAATAATTCATTGTTACCATAGTAAAAAAATTATAAAGCTTAAGGATCAGAGTTACCCCTTTAGTAGACCAAATTTATCAATTTCGTATATATCGTATTTTCGCATCAATTTAACCCTTAAAGTTATTTAATTGCATCAAATTATACTGGTGACCATTAATTTTTGCTTCGTTTGGATGGAAATCATATATCTAGACATTTTGTTGATATGGTAATCATAATTGAGAATAGAGGTATTTATAGGGAGGGATGAGAGTGTGAACGGTCGGGTGGGGGCGAATTTAAAGCAAAGACGCGACTCATGCACCGCGTCATTCTGACGCGTGTCAGAATGTCAGGAAGGTGCGACCCATGCACCGCTCCATACCTTACGTGGCAGAAGGCGCGACCCATGCACCGTGCCTTACCCAGCGTGGCGCCAAGTCAGCATAAGGCGCGGTGCATGTCTTTCTGCAAAGGTGTTAGATCGAGAAATAAACCTAGAAGGGTGTCTGACAGGAAAATAAAGATTGATAGGGTGATTTTTTTGGGAAATTTGTCATTAGAACTTAACGGTTATATTATTTAACACAATCATCAATACCTAAAAACATGATTTGACTTCCTTAGGCCATAAGAAAACCCCCAACACCCTTTTAAGCAACACGCAGCCTCTAAGTACAAAAATAGTGCCTAAAATGAAAATGAAGTCTAACATAAGTTATTAAAATGCTTAATTCGCAAACTTTATTCAGTGACCAAAACAAATATTTATGAGAGTTTGGTGACCAACTATTAATTTACCCTTACCTTTTGTTCAACATCAATGGTATTTATTAGTCCACAACGTTGTGAAATCTAGAACCACAAAATGGCGTGCCGCATGCATCCCCACGGACCCTACTTCGTTTAAAAGTCGGTGCTGTTAGGTTCACAAATTTTTTAGGGTAAAGTATAATAATGGTCACTGAACTTTTCTAAAGCTTTTATTTAGGTCCTTTAACTTTTAAAACTTACAATACAGTCTCTCAACATTTAGTCCATTTGCAATATAGTCCCTTAACAGTTACGTCAGGGACTATATTGCAAACGGACTAAATGTTGGGGGACTATATTGCAAGTTTTAAAAGTTAAGGGACCTAAATGAAAGCTTTAGAAAAATTTAGTGATCATTACTATACTTTACCCTTTAATTAAACTTATATGTATTTAACCTGGCTAGGTATATCTTGTTTGTAATTTAAAGTATCATTAAATAAACAAATATATAGGTAACAGTTTAACACTCCAATAAGGTTGGTTTCTTTTGTTCTCATAATTCGTTTATTTAATAGATTCATTTTAGGAAAGCTGAATGCCGGAGGTCTTAACATTGTGGTCGTGGGATCGAGTCATACGGTGGGTAATTCATAATTCTGACTGTCGGAGGTCTCCCACGGAAACTGCTCTCAACCTGACGTTAGGAGCAACCTACTATCCTACCTTCTCTTTAACTCATTCCATATGAGAATAGGGTCAGCTAATTTAATTTATATTTTAGGAAAGCTGATGTTACAAAGATAAAGAAAATTTTTATTATTCTTGCGTGGATTTGACAAGCAAATAAATGGCCACACCGCTTTATTCTTTTTTGAGATGGACGGATGAAACTTTATGATTTTTCGGGTCCCTTTTTCTATTTAAATATAAATTAATAATTAATGATTATTAGATTATTAGATATATATATATATATATATATATATATATTATTTTTGTAACTATTGAGTCTATGTTCTTTAACGGCGTTTTGAGAGTAAACGTCACTAAATTTAAACATATAGCGGCGTTTATATTTCAAATGCCAGAAAATGATAATTTTAGCGGCGTTTCTTTACAAACGCCGTAATAGGTATCATCTATAATGGCATTTTTTCGATAAATACCGCAATAAAATAGTAATTTAGCGACATTTTTTTAGGGATCATCTATAGCGCTATAGATATAAATTTTATAACGACATTGAAAGTTTTTGGAAACCAGTTTTTAGAATTCAT